GAAAGCCCTTGACATGTTAGATCTACTGGTACTACTATATTCAAACTGTTTTCATTGCGTCTCTTGACGGGCTGCCTCGATGTCGGTCAGCTTATGTTTGAGAATTACTCGTGGAACCCGCGCCCAGCCTGCATGTCACATGCGTCGTCACGATGCCGGGCCTCTGCAGGCATGCTGAGTTTGGGGCTGACGTGCTCAAGCAGCTCAAATTCCCGGGCGGGTGATGCCGATGCATTCGACCTGTCAGGGCTCAGTTCACAAGACTTCTCGGCCGCCGTCTCTCTCTCTCTCTCTCTCTCTCTGTCTCTGTCTCCCTTGAGCCTCACCATCTCCACCAGCCCCTTCAGAGTCAACGAGGTCACCACATCAACCTCGGCATGTTGCAGGACGAGTCGAGAACGCGTGAGATCTGAGAGCATGAATTTCAATCCCTTCGCCCGACTTACCCGCGCTTGTGACGAGAGTTCAACTGTGCCGCACTCAGCATCCTGAGTCGACGTGCCCTTGCGATGGTCCTAATTAGGCCATGGCGGGACCCGTTACCTTTGAGCTGTCTCTTCGTTTCGTGTCTCCAGGCGTGTCTCGTGGGATTTTCCCTGTGAGGTCTGCCCGTGTCTAGTTTGTAGCGGCCATAGCGCAGCTGAAGTGTGCGCTGGAACGTGCGATTTAGACAGTCTATATTGGACTATATAGCCGTTCATCCTTCAATGATGTGAAGCGGCACAGCCAATCGGACTCGGTGGCTGAGAACACAAAATACTAATGCCGTATCGGTTCCATTTCTAGCGGCACGCCTTTGTAGATGCCTTCGACTGAAACAGTGTTGAAATATGCCGCATGCTTTGGGCGGTCTTCGAGGTCACGGCATCGGAGTCAGCGCAGCCGACACCTGGGGCAACCGTTGACTGGGAACGCACTGAATGTGACGCAGGCATCGTTGAGCCATTTGAGCCGAACGCCGATGCGCCGGGAGCCATGCAGTTCTGCCTGCTGTTATCATGAGAACTTGCCGTATGCCTCATGCTTAGTCTGCATGCTGGGCAATGTTGACAAACCCAGGCCGCGAAATGTTTCGGGCCCGGGCATTGCGGTCCAGGCGTGCGAAGTCTTGCCAAGCTCTCTCCCAGGGACCCTGGAAGGACTGTTGGTGCTCTGTGCAAGACGACGCATGCAAGACATATGTTTGCGCTGCCATGCTAGGATAATCGCCTAGCGATGACCCGGCCTTCTTCCCAGAACTGACAATCATTCGCCGAGGAAGCCGACGCATGAGTCATAATTAGTTATCATCTACTCAGCACGCAGAGTGACTCGTCGGCCGAAACTGATTCTGCTTTAAACCGGTCGTTCCTCGACACCAAGTGGTTTGTTGGCAAGTTGGTTTGTCTCTCTGTCGCAAACACTTGCCTGTCCTGAGCGCTTACCTGCAGAACACGCTGGTGGCCTTCTCAGCACACGGGCAAGGCAACCTAAAGTGTCAGAGACTCATGAACCGAATCACACGGACAGAAACTTTTTCAAAATTTGCCACGCTGCTCATTAGTCCTCCTTGCCTTGTAAGATTGAATGTGCCAGGGCAGCAGGCATCGAAAAACCGGTCCACAGCGTCCCCAGGGACTCTTGTCATCTCCGTCCAGCTAACGATCTTTAGCACAGAAGTGGAAACTGTACAAAGTATTTGCCTGGCCCTTGGGCTACAGCAGACATATGAGCGTATGCACTCCAAAAGCGGTCGCCCATATAGACGTCAACGCGGGTTGCATCGACGGTAACGCAAATTGCGTCGGTGCACTCCTGCACTGTTGATTGCCCCCTGCCGGCTGCCTTCCTGCATCGAAACATGTTGAAGTGATGATGCCTGTTCTTTTGAGATGGCTATATCCTGGAACCAATGTGCATACTCGAGGAGGGCATGCAACATCTTTACTTGTTTGACAGGGCCGGTATGGTCAGGGTTTTAATAGTGTCCGCAGATGGTCGGGTGCGGACTTTTCCGTACCCATAGGTCTGTCTCGGCGCTGCGGCTGCAGTTTGCTCCGATTCTGAAATCTTGCAAGATGTTGCAACTGCGCCGAGGCAGTGTGCAAATGATACTGGGAGTCTGTGGGATCGCATGGCAACCCGAAATGGAATGCGGGAGAGTACCCTGAACAGGCAAATCACTAGTCACTAGGTGCACAGTGTGGCTGCCAGCATCTGGATCCCTAGCCATGTGTTATGAGCCTTATGGCTCGTCCCGCTCAGCCCATGAAGCCCCCCTGGCCAGCCTGAAATTCTGAAGCTCATTGCAACATATTGCAAGTTTCATTCAGCTGCAACTCCACTTGCGGGCACTGGCAAAACGGGGCCGAGCGCAAGGCCAACCCACCTTTGTAGGAGCCTTGCTGCCCCTCAGGTCGAGCATTTACAGTCGCAAGACGACATCCACCTCCATGAATCACTGCTACCTGCTACCCGCTACCCAGGCTCATGGCGCCAGCACCCTGCAAGCCACGCAGGTTCTCGGGGAGGTCCATGTAGCCAGGCCTTGCAACAGCCCACACTCTGTCGGGGCCCCTCCTCAGCCCTTGCAAGGCAAAACTTCCATGCGTCTGTGGATCGGGCAGCATGCCGAAGTTTGGATTCGAAGGTCCGCCCGAGGGTCCGGTTCCTGCGTTGGGCATACCGCCCATGTTGCGCCCAGGGACCTGCAACAGTGCTGGCAACAGTGTTTTATGGATCACCTCCAACACTATCGCATGGTTTGCATGTTGTACTTTCAACCCCCATGAGCCATTAGCTGAACTTGTGGCTGAAGGTTGCTTCAGGAACCTACTTCTTCATTTGTGGCCTGCGGCGGCTGCTGGACAAATGCAGCGGCCCAGGCAGGATTTCCGGCCAAACCTGCTGTAGGTCAATGGTCGCACATCTCGAGAAATGTGCTCGGGCAGTGCTTGCATTCCAAGGGGCCCAAAGATTGCAGGTTGGGTAGGCCTTGTAGACCTGGCGGATGCAGGCAGTGAGCGCGAGCTTGCAAGGGTTGCTGCTGGCCTTGGAGGCCCTGGAGTCCTTGCCTGACGCCAGAGAACATTCACAGCACTTTTCCGAACGCTCCACTCGGAGACTTGAGAACCGGATGGAAGCTAGGGGGACGGAAAGGGAGCAGTGTATTGCAGACCTGAGCATTACATGATGCAGTGCTCCTTGTATGCTGTGTTGCGAACTGTTAGGCAAGCAGCTATCCAATCAGAGACTTTAGGTTCGCCTGCGTTGTCATACGACCTAAACCTGCGCTGAATAATGCATGTTTTCCTCAATGCAAGAAACATTACGACTCTGAAGCGCTAGTTTGCCCTCAGGCCTCGTTGTTCAGTGTTTGTTTACCCTCCTACAAACTCCTTGTCAACAACGAATCGGCTTGGATCCCTGATTGACCCAAAACCAAATCTGCACGCAACAACTCGTGCAAGCTCCAAACAGGCTAGCCTCCGTGAAAAACTGGGCGTCCGGCAGATTGGGAAGGCCCTGCAGTCCCTGTGGGACTGACATCCCGAGGGTGCCGGCGCCCTCAGTCTGACAAGCTGCTCGAACGGACTCTCGTTTGAGAGGCGCCTGCGATGGCTTCGGTGGTGGTCGAACGTCACACGGAAAGCCTCACGTACTGCAAGTCTGAGTAGTCTGCCGAGAACTCCATCAGGTTGGGCATTCCTGCATTGCGACTGCACGCACAAGCAACCACATCCTGCTGTCATGCTGCAATGCTTGGCGAGCCAAACTTCGACGTCTCCCACGACGAGTCTCCCAGCACCCAAAATGCCGGATCTGAGCCGAAACGTTTCCACCAAGATCCTGGCCTGGCATCAAGCCGAAGCCGCCAGTGCCTGTGAACAAGCTCGGTCCGCGACTCGGTTCACCACGTCAGCTGTCAAAAGGGATCAACGACCGACCCCCGGACCTGAGTCCTAATGCCAACTGGCAATGCAGAGATTATTGGTTCAAGCCTTCGTTTCAAATCACCAACCGCGAAGGGCGCCTCCTCCAGCCCCCTTCCGAAAACACCCGAGCCCGTCATCTCATCACCCGATGTATTTCTTTGTTCCCCAGACTTCCACGTATCATTCCCACCTCCGAGCACTTTGCCGGATTAAATAGTTAAACATAGTTCCAACCAATCACGCCGCCAAGTGCTCCAATACGGAAGCAGCACAACTGCCATCAAGCGCCGCAGAATAACCTGCAACCTTGCACACTCGGCAGACAGTGACAGTGAAATGTTTCCAAGCTTTTCAACGCGAAATCCATGCAGTAGCTCTGCAGACAGGAAGGAATGGGGGAAGGCAACTCGTTGATTAAAACGGCTACTTTGACCAACTTCATTAACCAACTGGCCTTGAACATCCTTGAACTGCACCCTTCAACCCATAGCGAAACGGGGAATCGGACGAACGTCAAATGATCCGTGGAAGCCCTTCATAAAGGGAAGTGCACGCTAGGCAGGCTGCATTGCCTCCTTCGCACAAGGGAAAACTGCCTTTTCAACACGGCTGACCGCGCGCCGACTCACGTGTCTCTGAATTAGCCCTGCTTCATGCTGGCTAATGCATCCAGCGAAACATGCAGAGCCATCTCTTGGTGGAAGCCTGTGGGCAATTCATGATTCATTCTTGGTTAAGCAGGGGAACGGCGCAAAGTTTGCGCAAACTTGCCTTCACTGCCAGAGCGCAGGATGTGACATGAACAGTTAAGCCATTCGCACTTGCTCCTGCGCTTTCTTTCTGTCATGCGTTCACAACACTGCACTGCAAAGCCCTCTAGCAGTCGGGCTTTGGTCGATAAAGGTCCTGCATCAGATTATGCTCATGTGCTTAACTTGCCACAACTTGTGCTGCAATGAGGTTGGCTCGCTTTGGTCGCCATTCTCACGCAGCTCGTTCCAACGCACGCAACCTTTAGTTGCAAAGCCATTTATGGCTTGCACCTCTGACACCCGGGACCACTCAGAGTGGCCTGGCATGTGGCTGCTAGCTGATGGAACATATCTCGCCCTGCTGTTCATCGACCGAGCTCAGACCTCAGCTCCAAGAGAATCGGTCTCCCATGTCTGCCTGTCTGCATCTCGGCGTCTCGTCTGAAGACCGAAGTCCTTGGCTCACCTCTTGGCCAAGGATCGCTTCTGGCGGCTCCGGAGTCCCGGTGGAGTCATCTCCCCCTCGTACTCCAGAAGCCTTGGAGACGCGAAACGCATCACTAGAGATGTGCCACTGAGTTACCCTTTTACAGTATTTCGCAGTGAGGTGAGTCTCAGGCGCCTCTTCAACGCCGAATTCGATCGTACTCTTCATCATCGGAAAAATCGGCATGCATGCAGCGAAAGGACTACTTGTACCGTCAAGCTGCTCATCGTCACCGTCGCAGCCGACGCGGCAGCTCCTCTTTCGTCTTGCGAAAGAACAAGCTTTGCAGTTCTAAGCTTCAGGGAGGGTCTGGCAATGAGCCGACTGCTACGGCCCCAGACCACGCGGGGCTTCCATGCGAACAAACTCAACTCAGTCGGCGCATGCTTGCTGATTTCAATTTGGGTCCAGTGCTGCGCCAGATCCGTATATGCAAGCGATGTGCTGTCTGATCTCGGCTTATTGCATCCTTGTCTACGGAGCAGCATGAGAATTTAGAGTTTCAGGAAAAACGGGGACCCCAAATCACGCCACAGAATGCTATGCAGTAGGATTTAGACAAGGATTCCAGAACTGCACGGAAAACCCGAGCTCCACAAGTTCATCCAATGCAGCGGCTCGGACTCGCGGGCGTACAACTTCTGGTGCGCTTCCTGATCTCGTAACTGCGCAGGGGGCAAAAGGCTGAAATGCCGTGACCAGGTTGTGCTCAAGAGGCCGTCCACTCCATGATCTCTGCAACTACGCAGGATGTGTCGTCCATTTTGCCGCCTTTGCCGATCCTAGGCTCAGCATGGCTCAGGCTGGGACACAAACGTAATGCTGTCCCACATCTGCAGACGTGGGATCAGCTTTCCTATCCAAACATCCCCGTCTCCCTTTCTTTCTACATGGTGGCGCACGATCACGATGTTCCCGTGCAAGAATGTGCAAGTAAAAAATCACCCACGTACGATTGTAGCGCAGCATAGTGCAGCCCGGGTTATAGCAGCGTCAACACACTCAGGGTCAGGGCGTGGGTCCAGTACTTGGGTAAAAGTGGCAGCTGGGAGAGAGCTTGACCTGAATGATCGGCTCTCCACTCTTATGTTGGATCAGGCACACCACATTCATTGTGCGGGTTTGTGCAAAGCAGCGATTTCGGCACCCTTCTTGTTCAGCACGTGCCCCAGTTGACGGGTTGAGCAAGTTGTACCCTTCGCTGCGTGGTTGGTTTCGGCAGTCTTCTCTCGTCTCGCATGAACTACCACCTCGGCTTCCCAGTGCAATCTGCAATGCCAGCTGTCGGCACCAAGGTGCCAAGCAACGGCCCCAACGTGTCTCCTGACAGTTTCCAGCTATCACAAAGATGTTGACAATTCCATGTTTTCGTCGCTTGTTATGCAGGTCTGCTGCTTGCTTGTGGCACATAGAAACCACTCAGAATGTGCCTCTTCAGCTTGCAAGGTTGTACTCCGTAGTTCTGGTCATCTTCATTTTTTTTTGGCCGTGTCCAGCTTGACAGCAGTTTTCATGATTCTCTGCATGAGTCCCTCCTCCCGGTCGCGGCTTGCTCCCTCTAGCGGCTCGCTTGGCCCAACGGCTCGCGGTACCGGGCACCCACCATTGCTGCTTGCTGAGTCGGGCCCGCCGCGTGTCTTGCCCCGGCGATCTTCTTGGTCTTCTTTGGGTGCCTCGGCATTGTAAACCACACATATACTTTGGCCTCTGATGTCGAGCGCGTAGTCGGTGTCCTTGTTGTCCTGGTGCGCCGGTTTCAGTGCTGGTGCTCCCTCTGGCTTTGCCCCCTCTGCGGATAAAGAAAGGGCTCGGGGCTGAGCGGGTCATCGCGGCTTCCACGAGTTTCCTGGCAGCCCAGCTCTCCCTCGCTTTGCTGCCATGTAGAATGCCTTCCGCCAACTTGTCGTGCCGGGTACTTTCCTCCCTTGTTTTTCGGGAGGTAGCCCAGCGTACACGGAGTCTTCCACCCCGCCTGAAAACGAAGATGAGGACGGTGCTGCAGTCACACTCTCGGTGAAGTCGTCAAAGCATCGCGATCTCTGGGATGAGCTGCATGGTTGCAGGAACCTATTCCCCAGCTCTCCTCTTTCTCTTGCTTGCTTGCTTGCAGGTGGCTTCGAGGAAAGGGACCCATGAGCCCCCTTCCCCACGCAACGCGCGCAGCCAGGTTCTCTGTCTTCGCAGAGGAGCGAATCTGTTGTCGCTCTTGCGACGTCGGCAAGGGTGGCTGATCCCCCGGAAAGAACGGCAAGAAAAACCTAAAGACGCAAGTCCCCCTACCATCAAGAGCCCTGCATGTTCCCCTCTTTTTCTCTCTCTCTTTCTTTCGCCAGGGCTGTGGACCTCTCTCTCACTCTCTCTCTTTCTTTCGCCAGGGCTACGGACGAGGGTTACCCCTCGCCCGCGCGCATCAAGCGCCCCCGACTGTTGCGGGGCCTTTGGTGANNACTCGACAACGAGGCAACCTGGCCACAAAGCTGAGAGTGCTAAATAGGCACCATGAATACGCCTGAAAGGCAGTAGGACTTCTTCTGGTCAGGTTCGCCTGGGTTCTTCCCAGGGTGTTGTCAGCAGATGAGCTGTGGATGACGTGGACAACTCAGTGCACAGCTCCTATCAAGCCATCCCAAGGGCACCGACCCTCTCTCTCTCTCTCTCTCT